AAAACTTAGAAAATTAAAAAGAATAAATTTGTCAATAAAATTAAAAAATTTTAATTTGCTAGTGATTTAGTTAAAAAAAAAACTAATTTATGCAACTTTTTCAATCTATTAGTGGTTTGAACTCTAACTGCTATTCTCTAGTTCTAAATTGCTAAATAAAATGTTTTACCGAACATTTAACTTTTAGCAATTTCAAAATAAATAAATTTATTAAACACTTATTTTTAGCGGTTTGGATAAAACAATTAACTACTATCTCCAAACCGTTGTATTAAATAGATCTTGAGTGTTATTTAATAGTTGGTAATAGTATTATGTGGTTTAATGTAATTATAACTACATAACACTTATTTCTACCTTTAATTTACTTGTATATAGTAGTACTTTATGAGTGTGGGTCATTTTTATTTGAGTAGATATATATATATAAGTTTTATGCATTATATTTACATAAAATTTTAAGAATTTATCTTTCTACTTTTAATAGTTAAATTTATATTCACCTTCAAAATAATATTTAATTACTAATAAATCTAACTTATATGGTTAGTACAAAAAAAAAAAAAAAAACTTATATGGTAATACCAGTGGGTATTTATTTATAATACTACCTTGTTACCGTGTTGCAAAAAATGCTGCTTTTATAAGAAGTTAACGGAGCTGCCACTGCCGACTTTACATGTGCTTACCATTCTAGAGCCGAACCGCCTCAACTAGATTTTATTATTATTATTGATATTTACCAATTATTCCATCTAGTGTACTTAAATTGAATTTTGCAGGCTTCAAAATTAATTTCTCTTCTCAAACGGTTGTTGGAGTGTGAGTCGACAAAGATTGATTAACTCCTTGAGGCCCAAGCGGCAATTTGGTGGATGCCGCTTGGATCCGGTACTTACATAGAGGCCCATTACCAGTGCCTATTGAGCCTACCGTAGCCCAATTTTGTTTTGAAATTTTTTATTAATGACATAAAAAAAATATATATAGTAAATCCTACGGCGTTTTCCCTCCTACCTTCACTTCCGCCGCCTCCATAAGAGAAGAAACTCAGTTTAGATTTATGATTTTGCTTGCTTAACATCCGGCCAAAAAGTTCTTTTTGCGGCAGCAATAACCGCCTAAGTCACTTGACAAAAGAAATGTAAAATTTTGACACAAATTTTAATAAATAATATAATAAGTTATAAATGTTTTAAAATAATTATAAAGGCTTTAAAAGCAATATAGGCAATTATATTTGAAATATAATTCATCCTCAAATGTTTTAGCAGAATTTTGTGACAATATAAGCAGCAATATGGCCTTATATTTGCTTACTACATATTTGCCATCATAACCAATTTTTAAGCACGATTTATATGAGCCCACCAGCTTGGCTTCCGTGCAAATTTTTTCTGCAAACCAAACACGCCCCAAAAAAATGCCGAGTAGCCAACCATTTTCAACGATGAGTTAGGAATTTTTTTTTTAAAAGGTAATTTTTTACGCACAAACAAAGTGAACTGCGCTAGTTGCTAGAGTTCGAATATTCTCAAGTTACCAATTCTTTAATTCATTCCCATTTTCTCAAACACGCCGCTAGCTTCTCTTGTTTTCCCTTGGGTTTTGCAAAGAGGGCTTATCTGAGGTTCCAATCCCCCCTATTCTGCATCTGCTAGTAATTTGTCATGAAAATGAGGGATTAAGGAGGTAAATCTCTTATTCCTTGTGGTTTTACTTCTGTTTTCCCATATTTTTTACGAAGTTTATTCATGTTTGGTGTTGCTGATTGCAAATTTACCTGTAATTAACGTCTATTGGGTTAGAATTTATTTGAATTTGTTAGTCGTTTCTAACAATTCTTTTTTTACTTGCAAAGATAGATGGCATGGGGAGTCTTGATGAAACCAATGATTGTACGGGATTGATGACAGGGAAAACATATGGAGTGATTCAAATGAACTAATTTTCATTGAGTTAATGATTGAGGAGGTGAAGGAAGGAAATCGAATAGCTGGTAACTTCTCCAGACTTGGATGGAGGAATATTGTACAAGGACTCAAAGAAAAAATTGGCAGAGATTACACTGATCCTCAATTGAAAAAGAAGTACCAAAGCTTGAGAAAAAGACACAGGAAGCTCACACTCACAGTCTTAATTCAAGAGATTGGGATTGATTACAATTCTTGTACAGGTGACGTTAATGCTAGTGAAGATGTCTGGGAAACTCTACGAAGGGTAAGAACTTAAACCCACTAAAGTTATAGTAATACTTTAAAAGAAAATACAATGCAGTTTGAATTACATTAAATTACATAATTTATATTATTATATGAAAATAGATCTTGATATTGGAATTCGTCTCTCTATCCAATAATCCCAATTTTGCTGGAAACTATTAATACTATTAGTTTGATGTATAATTGATGAATTTAATTTTTCTTTTCAAATTACTACAGGGGCACTCATTGGCGACTGAGTTTTGGAAGCAAAGAATATAAAGGAGAAAAGATGCAAATAAATGCAAATAACGATATCAATTTTAAATTTTTTTATTTTAAAATATTAATTTTATTAATTTTTAAATAAAATTTATTAAATATTTTAAAAAAAATTCATTTCTCATGTAGTATCACTGTTAAATTAATGAAACCACTACAAACGGCAATGCCTTTTTTCCAATTTTTTTTTAAAAGGTCCGGCAATACCTTTCTTAACCTTTTTTTCCAATCCTCTGAAAAAAAATTTATTTTAGTCACTTGAGCTATGTTTTAATCATTTTCATCCGTATTTTTATTTTATTTCATACGATACTGTTTTAAGTGTGTGGATATAGTGCGAATTTGTATGTTTGTCGGACTAACATAAATGCTTTGTTTTATAAGGTTTTACTACGTGATTTTAGTACCATCGGTGCTTTACAGCATCTACTCCTTCGCAACCAAAGAAGAAATATTTGAAAAAAGATTTATTATTATTTTTGTTTTTATTGTATATATAAAGATTCTATATATAGATTTATACAGTAAAATATTCTTAAGTATAAATTAATTAGTTTAAATATGTATAATTAATTATAATATGAATATAATATTTTAAATTAAATGCTGATATTTTAACATCCCTCTACAAATTCAAGGTGATGGTGAAGAAACCGACTTGAGTTTGGAAAGAAAAGTTTGGAAGGGTCCAAGGAAATGAGTCTTGGTGAACAAATCTGTAAGCTGATCAGTAGAACTAATGAAAATTAAACGAACAATTCCTTTCACAACATCATGACAAATAGAGTGACAATTGACCTCGATATGCTTTGTGCATTTATGGAAGACATCATTCTGAACAATCTATATAGTGCTTTGATTATCACAATATAAATTAGTACAAGAAGGTTAAGGAATACCCATATCTTCAAGAAGCCACCGTAATGAAAGAAGTTCTGATGTGGTATGATCGAAAGCTCTATATTCAACTTCAACACTAGAGCGAGATAGAATAGCTTGTTTCTTGCTCCATCAAAAGATTAGAGAATTACCAAGGAAAAAAATAGTAACCAATGGTCAATCTGCTATTAGAAGGATTGCTAGCTTGATTGGCATTAGAATAAGCATGAAGCTCAAGGGAGGAGAGGTAAAAAAATGGAGTACATGAAACAATATTCCCTTAACATAGTGAATAATGTGAAGTACTGCTACTAATGAGTGGAGTGAGGAGCAGCTATAAAATGACTAACAATGTGAACTGCATATGCTATGTTGGGACATGTCATGGTAAGATAAACCAGACTACCAACTGATGAGACCAATTTTTATGTAGTTTTATAAGTTAATCTAGCCTTAAATTTAAGATCATTGTACTATTTATGTGAAATTCTTTGTGATTTTACATAATTTGGTTGTTTTCTCTTACGTGGGGGCTAGAATAGCAATTTTTGAAAAGTTGGAGGCTCTAGTAACAAAATTGAAAATTTGAAGGATTGAAGATTCTGGTTCAAACATGCTTCAAGTCAAACCAACTTCAAGTATTAAGAGCCACATCATCAAATTTCATGGCTTAAAAGATAGCAAGGCAGTTTTGGAGTTAGTGGGCAGTTTAACGTGAAAATAGGAAGGAGTTAGTGGAGCAAAAGGGGAAGCAACTGTCAAATGAAAAACTGTCTGGTGGATGCTAAGAAAAGGAGAGCAAAACAATCGAAAAAGCAAGAAAGGAGGAAAAAATCTGCATTTTGTTTCAATCTTTCTCATGGACAACCTTCAATGGGAAGACTTCTTCCAAATCCAAATCAGTGATTTCTTTCCTTGTACCCATAGAAAACCTATGTTAAATTCTACTTTTCTGTTTTAGTTTTAATGAATTCCAGTACAATTGTTTGTTTTCTATCTCTGATTATGGAGTAATTTTGTACTTGGGCTTATGTTGAAATCCAAATCATGAAGCTTTCATTCTGAGAAGTTACAGCCTGATCTATTTTGCTTCATTTTGAATTAGTATTTCATTTGTAGATTGTTTTCTTGTTGAATTGGCCAATTAACAAGATGTATGGATGTTTAACTTGAACCGGGAGGGAATAGTTAAATGAGACCACCAAATGAATGCCATTAATTTGAGGAGATAGAAATATACTCTTAGAATTGATGTGTTCTTGAGAAAAGAATCACCGCACTTGAATTTTAGTTTCAATTTACTGCATTGCATGTAGAAATATATAAGTTGATGGATTGAGATAATTTACTGTCACTTGAAAGAGGATCAGTAAAAACTCAAGGATTCTTGGACACGATTCAAGAGAGTAGAATGATCAAGATTTGGGTGAATTGAATGCAAATGGATTGTGCAGGTAAGTAGACATAACCCTGAACTTTTTATAGAGGTTAAATTATCATTTTTAAGAAACAGTTATTTTCTTTAGTTTAGTTTAAGAAATTTGCTTTTACATCAAGAGTTTTTGATGGTTAGATAAAATTAGCACTAACATAATTTAGGTATTCAGTAGAATTTTTCATCATTAATCCTCGTGGTAACAATACTTTACTCACTCTTTATTACTTGATACGATAATGTGCACTTGCATTTTTAGGTGAATGTTTCACAGTTATCACCAACCAATTGCCAATAGCAAGTAGGATGAGAAAGTGGAGAGCCATTCATAGGTGCAAGCTTAACATTAGGTTCAAGGGGTGTAGAAACACTGTTGCTATCATTGAGTTTAGTTTTAGCAACAAGATCGGAGGCATACTTCAAAAAAAAGATAGCCATCATCTAAAGAGGCGACTTTAACCCCCAGAAAATAACTTAGAACACCCAGATCTTTCATCTCAAATTTCTGACTAAAAGACCATTTTAGTTCATCAACACCTGCGATATCATCTCCAGTGATAATCATGTCATCAACATAAAGAAGTAAAAAAATCATACCCCAAGCAGTCTTACAAATGAACAAAGTTATATCATATGAACTAGAAGTAAAACCAAACTTACTCACAGTAGTACTTAACTTTGCTTACCGAGCTCAAGGGAAATGCTTCAAACTATATAATGCATGCCTCAATTGGCATATCTTATTTGGAGGATGATTGAGTCCAAGAGGTAATTTCATATAAACTTCTTCTAGGTCACCAAGAGTGGTTTCATATTAACTAGTAGTTGCCATTCACTACAACAAAAAGTCTCGCCTGAAATGGTGGACTTGCATCTCTAATAATCCTTTGCCCGTAGACTTCCAAAAGTGGCCCAGGTGGATGCCAATTGTCATGCCAAATATGTATATCATTTCCATCACCAAGAATGTATTGAATCATTCTTTTAGCCTGTAACCTAAGATTAAGCAATTTTCTCCAACCCCAGGTTGCATCAAATGAAGTTTTTATGGACCAAAAGCTTCTACCTTTTAGCAAATATGCATGGACGCATGCAATCCAAATAGAACCTGCTTTAGAGATTAGAAGCCAAATGAATCACAATATACAGGCTTTGTTCCACTATTGGTTAATAATTAATGAAGGCAGCAACTACAAACAGCAATGCTATATATGGTTACAATTATCAGTGGTATTAAATGAAATATGACGTAACATTAACCGAATAAATACATATAATATTACCCATGGATTCTTATATAAAAAGAGTTAGTTATAAAACAACAAATTATATTGTAAATTTATAATGTCACATAAAATTATAATATTTTTGAACAACAAAACACTAAAAATCCAATTGTAAACTCATAAAATTGATTAAACCATAAAGCTAAGAAATAGAATGACTCCAAAAAAAAAGAAAGTCACAGAAACTAATTATTGAAAGCATCAAGTCCAAATCTCTTGGAGCTGGCTCATTGAAATAAATTCATAAACGATGACCATTTCAAACGCTTAGGAGTTTTGTCGAATACCTTGTGTGCAATCAGGAGAAGAAGGATTTGAGGATCTGTTCTCAACCTTCGTGCTATACATGTCCAGTAATCCTACGTACCATGAAACAATGCAGCATTCTGCTAGGAAAATAATTTGAAAACAGAATAAGATGAATTCGGAAGGAAACATACAACGTTGGAGAAGAAATATGTGTATGCCTCAAATGTATTATTCTTGACCCAGATTAAACTTTTAACGGTGATGCATGGAACATCCATAGCCTCCATACGAAATAATTTTGTAGAAGAATCTAGATGTTGGGAAAGTATTGGAGGAACATTTATGTGGTGGATTGCAGAACAGACACGTAGAATGTTAAGGGGTGGGAGTGTGGATAGGGATGGCAATCTGCCTCGATCCCCATGAGTTCCATGGGGATCCTCGCCATGGGGACAAAAGGCATTTTTCTCTCATAAAATTTTGCGAGAAATTTTTCTTGTCTCGTGAGGATTCCCATCTCTATGAAAAATTAAAAAAAAAATATGTAAATTAATTTTATTTTAAATTTAATTCAATCTTCAAATCCAAACCCAATTCAATCAAAATTAAATTTAATCCAATTTTACTCAATTCAACCCAACTCATCATTAACTTTTT